TGGAGAAGGGAACGGTTACCCACTCCAGTATTCTGGCCTGGAGAATTCCATGGATTGTATAGTCCATGGGGTCGCAAAGAGTCAGGCACCACTGAGCGACTTTTACTTTTTTCCACAAAGTTTTGTAACTTTTAGGGTTTTCTCTCTCTCTTTCGCGTGCAAGAGTTCCACCTGATTGTTTGCAAGAGGTTTGTCTTTACTTACTCTGTTCAGAACTCTTGTTTAGTACTTCTTGAGTGAGGATTTCTTAGCTCTTGAAAATCCCAAAGCTTTGCTTTGAATGTTGCTTCTCCAGTATTCTTGGTCTTTTTTTATCCTGGAAACTTACCTACTCATTCTACCTTTTGTGTATCTTAACCAGTCTTCTATATTTTCTAACCTTCATTTCTAGATTCTTGTCTGGTTTACTTTTCTTGTCTTTGATCATGTCTACTTTTCTATTTAATCCCTCTTAAATTTTTTTTCTCCCTTTAATTTTAATGGTTTTGTTTTTTGGTTTTAATGGTTTTGTTAATGGTTTTGTTTTAATGGTTTTTAACTGTTTTAATGGTTATGTTTTTTGCTCTTATAGAGTCTAGTTTGTTCTGTTTAAGAACAAATACCAGGAGTATGTGTGTGTGTCTGTGAGTGAGATGTTTGTCACTTTTTTCATGACCTTAGTCATTTTACCTGTAGATTTAAAAAAATCTCCTTTATAGGTTTCTGTTATCTGGGATTCATTGTTCTGTGGGTTCTGATTCTCAGTGCGTTGATCAAGTATTGTACACACGTGATTCTTGGAGTTGCTTCACGTGGAGTTATTTTCTAGAGAGAGATCGATCTCCGTGTGTTTCGAGTTGTAGAAGTGCTTTTTGAAATAGTTGATTGCTTTATCCAGGTGTCCATTGCCAGTGCAATTTAAGTTTTATACTTATCCCTCCCCAGGATCCCCAACATGGAATCTCCTGGGGATTTTCTCTCCTGCCCCAGTGTAGGGTACAGGGATTGGGTTTTCATTTCTCTTGAACCCCCCCAGCCTTCTGCTCAGACAAGACGACCTTTTGCCTCTGTGGGCGGGTTGGCAGAAGCTTCTCCTCCAGCGGGACTGGTGGTACAGCTTTTCCAGACTCCGAGCTTCACACTGGGGTTTGAATGTCGTTCTCCACGTTTTATGTGCCGAAGGCCGTGTTTCATATGCCATTGTGAACATTAAAGCCTCGACTTGTAGAGTCTGTATCTGGCCTAGGATCTGATTTTCCAGAGTTCCCACGATACAATCTCTAATTCATAATTTTGCCTTAATTTCTCGCTCTTGGAGTTAACTGTTTTTATTCTTTCTATTTCAGCTGTGTTTTAAAATGTGGATATTATATTTTATCTCACAATTCTGTGTTCATAATTTTGGTTGTGGTTGAGGAAAGATACTTATTTTAGCATTATCTTAAATGGATGTTTGTATTTAAGACCAAATATTCATTTGGTATATATTAATATTGGAGCCATTTACTTAATGCATTCTGTCATTATTTACAAGAGTCTTTTTTGTTTGTTTTCTTGGAATTTCCAGGTATAGAATAATGTCCTCCAGAAACACTGATACTTTTACCTTCATAAGTTATGCTTGAACTTTCTATATCTCCCTTTATTTTGTTAATTGCTCTAGTTAATTCATCCAGTGAGCATTTCTGTCTTGTTCCTTACTTTTATTTGAATTCGGTATTTCTAAGGATTTTTTTTCAAGTGTTCTAAAGCAGGTAGCTTATCATAACATGATGTAAATATCTAAGTTTGTATATTCACTTAATAAGAAATTATAGTGTAATTATTATATATAATGTCACCAAAATATCATTTTAGGAGTGAATTACAGAAGTAATGCAAAAAATAAATACACAAATGAAAGATTTTTTAATTAGCTTATTGTTTTAAATCAAGATTTTCATTCTTCCAGATTGTCTCTCATGGTATCCTCACTCTTTTGCTGTATTTGCCTAAGTGTTCCAGTGACTGAGTACTCATTATTAGCAGACTGTTGTAATAGCCACAAGTGGCACCCTGCCTCCACCCCACCATGTAAGGAAAGATGGATCTTACAAAGGAACATTTACATGTGAGAGAGATGAAATGAAATCTGTTCGTTTCACCTCAATTTTTTTTTTTTCCCGTTTCACCTCTGTTTTTAACTGCTCATTTCTATAGTAATGTTCTGCTGCTTTGTGCCATCTATAGTGTTGTATTGGAGAAGGAAATGGCAACCCACTCCAGTATTCTTGCCTGGAAAATCCCATGGATGGAGGAGCCTGGCAGGCCACAGTCCATGGGGTCTCAAAGAGTCAGACACAACTGAGCGACTTCACTTTCTTTCATAGTATTGTATGTGAGTAGTTAGTATTGTATTGTGGTTATTGTCTTCATGAAACCAGACAGAAAAACTCTCACCAAGCAGATAATATGCATATTTTGCTCAATTCTGTACCATGTTGGTAAAACACTGGTGCCACAAAGCTTTGCCGTTTGTGACTAGATTTGATGTTTCTGTAGTTTAGAAGTTAAATTTCATTTCTTGCTTCCCATACAATTTAGTTATCTTGTTCTGCTTATGGGCTGAGATACTTGTTACTACTGTGCATGTTGTGTTTTGTATGTGTTTAAATAATTCCAGTCAGCCTCTGCTCAGATACATGAACTCAAATTTCAATGCTGAAACTTTGTAGTGGAAAGTCACAAAATTAAGAGAAATCTTGTTATTTACATCTGGTAAATTCTACTAGTTTGTTTATGGTAATCTTTTTTCCATGTGTTTAGCCTTAAAGAGAGATGATTCTATGTTTTGTTTCACTTGTACCCCTATATAAGACTTAGGGGTTGGGCACCTGTATTGGATATTGGTTAAGAGTACAGGCTTTGGAATCAGGTAGACCTGAGGTTGAATCTTAATTCTTTTGTTTAATAATCTATATTTGCCTCTACAATAAATTTTTAAAAGTTATTTTTAAGTTAGTTTCTTCCTCTGTGAGGTGACTATGATATACCTACCTCACAGGGTGTGAGGATTAAATAGGCTGGTGTTTGTGAAGCACTTTGTTTAGCGCCTGACACATGGAAAGTGCTAAAGAATTGGTAGCTGTATTTGTTGCAGTTTATTTAATTCAAAGGTAGTAAACAAATTTACTCCTTAGTGACTTGGCCAGCTTTATAATCTAGGAAAGGCTTAGAGATTAGCTTTAGGAAAACTATCTAGATGCGTTTCATACTCGATAATTGGGGAGTAGTTATCTTTTGAAAATAATCCTCCTAATTTTTATAGTATGTACTAACCTACAGTTAAATGTATAATATACAGAGTTAGAATAAAACGCAACATTCTGAAACAGTTTTTTGTTTTTTTTTAATTAAGCCTATATCTTAATAGCTTGGTTTCCTTATAAATATATTTTTAAGAGTTTTAGATGTTAAGACATATTTGGAAAGTCTTGACCAGTTTTAATGTCAGTCCAGTAGACATTGTGTTAACAGCAGAAAGAGTTAAGTTGAAAGCGTGGAGACTTGGGTTTGCGGCCTGATTTCGCTATTGGCTACATACATTTGTCCTTGGTCAGATTAAAAAAACCCCTATGTCTAAATTTTGATCTCTCCTGTGGTGCTTGTGACCTGACCTATCTCACCTAGTTGCTCAGAAAATCAGATGACATAATTGTGTCAGGACTCTATAGAATACAGAGGGCTATCTAGAGTGAAGATAAGTATTATCTTAGTTCTCACCTTATTTTTGTGTACCTACATCTTTTCAAAGAACAGTGTTGATGTTTTATGAATTCTTAGTATTTGAAATTCATACTCCTGCTTAATGAATCATATTTTTGTGACCAGAGGCATTTTGGTAACTTTTTTCTTGAATTGTGAGATGACCTGTTATCCTGAAGGTGAAGAAGGTTTTTAATCATTCCCCAAATAGCCAAAAGATCCTTTCTGGATAAACTTTTCCCCCTCCCCCCCAGAAGTATAACTGTAGCTCTTGAAACTATTTTCAGTCTGCTCAGAACTGATCACCTCCATTAAGCCTTTGATGAACTCTACCTGGTTTTACTTAATTTGGATTCCATCTGCATTTATGCATGTAGTTTGCAGTACATTGGTTTATATTTGAGTGTTTCTGTGAGTCATTTTGTGTCTTCCCCATGTGATCTGGTCTTGCTTCCTCAGCTAGCCTGGAGTCTCCTCAAGGGTGAAGACAGTTGTCCTTCCCCTTTCTTCACCGTAGATTCATGATAGAGGATGCTCTGCAGACATTGCTTTCTTACTTGTTGTGTTTAGGTAAAACTTGCAAGAACAGATTAATACCAGTTGGCCTAAGTATGCATCTGCAGAAATTTTGTCTACTATAGTGTATGCTTATTTAAAGACAAAAGGCATCGAAACAATATACTTCTTTATTTAAAAAAATACAATATTTATGCTGCCATGTATTTCAACTAGGACTAAGTTTTCTTTTGCTTTTTCAAGCCATTCTGTTAAATGTATTTGGCCCAAAGAAATCTAATAAATCTTATTAAGTAGCTTGATTTTTTTTATACTAAATCATTTTTTAGGAAATGTGGTGATTGTATTGTTAATAACCACAGTTGTAAATGCTTCTTTACAAGAAAAGGAATTTTGCCTTTTATAAAAGACTTTCATAAAAGGCATAATTTTATAGTCACAGTTATTTATAATTTTTCAATTAAATTCATGTATTAAGTTAATAATTTTTATTGTTTCTCATGTAAACCTTGATATGGAGGAGACTTATTCTTACAGTAAATTTCCTAATTTATTTGGAATTGACTGTTTTTGAAAAAAAGAAATTTTTTACATTTGCTTTATTCAGAGCTTTCTCTAGGACAAGATAAAATTGTCTTTTTCTTTGCACTTAAAGAATTTTGCTAAAAATTGTTTTCTTCCAAACAAGTATTTGCAAACAAGTATCTTAGTTCTCAGATTCTTTTCTCTAAACCCAGTGTTTGCTCTCCCACCTACTTTAGGAATGTCGCTGTCTGCGGGATCCTCCCCTCTTCACTCCCCCAAGATCACTCCACATACTTCTCCCGCCCCCAGAAGAAGAAGCCACACTCCAAGTCCAGCAAATTACATGGTGCCTTCTAGTGCCTCTACGCCCGGGAATAATCCTGTTTCTCAGACACCGTCTTCTGGTCAAGTAATCCAAAAGGAAACCGTCGGTGGAACAACGTACTTCTATACAGACACGACTCCAGCACCTTTGAGTGGAATGGTATGTCTGCTTTAAACAAGGGAGAAAAGAGAGGGCCCTTATAGCAGCTTCTTATTGATGAGAGAGATGAGGTTACCCCCTCTTGTATCTTTTTACTGTGATGTGGAAAGGTAACTCATTTCTAACTCAGATGATAATTCTAATCTCTTCACTTCTTCAAAGTAATCTGTTTCTACAGTAATAAAAACTCTTGGGTTGCCATTCCCTTCTCCAGGGGATCTTCCTGACCCAGGTATTGAACCCAGGTCTCCTGCGTTGTAGGCAGATTCTTTACCATCTAAGCCCCAGGGAATCCCAATAATAACTCTAGTTTTGGACAGATCTGGTTGTATTTAGATTATATTCACACTCTTAATACTTTATAGCACGTCTTGCTTTAGGGGTCCCCTAGTACTTGTGCCAGCTGGGATTGCCATTTGCTGACCCTTGTTTATAAGTATAGGTAGACTCACCTCTAGTGAGAAGTTAGAGAAGTCAATCGTTTCTTAACAGTAGTGACTGAAAGCAAACTGATGGTCAGTACTTGCCAGGTGAGGCAGTGATTTAACAGCTGGAACTCAGGGTGATGGAGCAGATGGTAATAGGAGGGCTGTAATGTGGGTCACTGGTCAGGAAGGAGGAGTTCAGGGAGCCCTGCTGAGAGGTAGGGAAGGGGCCACCAAAGGACTGCAGGGAGAAGAGGGGAGGGGCAGAGAGGGACGGTCATGTTCCCTAAGGTGTACCTTTTCAGTTTTATAGTTTTGTCCATGTTCAGAAATTATTTACCTGTAGAAAAGTAGTAGAAGGTGAAGCTCTCATGAGTAAGAATGCCAGATTCCATTAAAATATGAAAGCTGGTCTACACCGTAACTGGACAGAATCATAGCTGATAGACTTACATGAAAAGTGTCTTTGGATTTTAGTAAGCAATCAGATTTTGATCCTGTAAATTAATGATTTATTTTGGTTGATTACATTTCATATTTTACTGAAAGACAGTTTGAGTGGAAAGAGAACAGATTTTTATTTTTCCTCTTTTAAGAGTCCTAGTTCTGCCTTCGTGTTGTGACTCTTGAATCTTAGTGTCTCTGATACTGATTCCCCCAACTGTAAGTGACCACTGTCTGAGAAATAAATGTGAAAACATTTATGGAAATACTTGTGAATCATGTGAAATGCTTTCTAAAAAGTAATTAAGCAGCTAATAGTTTTTTGTTCTGTTTTTGTCTTTGGTCAGAGATCTTTCAAAAATTATCACAGAACAGCTTGCCGAGCAGAAGGTCAAATAATTGAGGTAGAGTAGAGACTTTCCTTGGTTCTTGCAAGTAAGAATTCCATCAATGTTTTGCTTTTGGGGAGGGGGTTATTATATTTCGTAATTACTTACATTTTTATTTTATCACATTTGTAGAAAAAAGTTCAGTTTAACCTATAAAGAGATTGTTGTATCACAAAACTGTCTCAGCTGTTTCTGTGGATGTTATACATGGCACATTTTCACAATGTTTTTACCCTTCAAACAGCTCTTAAAAGTACACTCCTGGTAAACCTGAGGTAGTTCAGCCCAACTGTGCTACCTGATGTAAGGAAACCACGGCCAGGGAAAGGAGGCACTGTTCTCCTCGCAGGTGTAGTTAAAGGAAACCTTTCAAGTATTGCAAAACCATTTCCTGCTTGAGATCCAAAGCAGAACAGTCATCTGAGGGCAGCGGAAATCAGCTGAATTCATTTTTAAAAGAGAAAAAAAGGGTTTGTTGCAGCTTTAAATATGAAGGGATAAAATAGAAGATATTTTAGGGTGTACTTTGATTTTGTGCTGTGGACCAGTGGAGGGAAGGAGAGGCAGAGGAAGATGGGAAGAAAGCAGGGTGGTGGGAAAAGCCCAGTTGGAAGGATCAAAGGCACGAGGCTGGCAGCAGAGTTTAGTGGTTTTGTTGTAGTTTGATTGCAAGGTATATACTCTGTCACATCCTTCTGTTCACCTCCACTGCTGACCCAGAGGATGCTGGTCCTCTTTCCTGTTCTAGTCTGAGGTGTTAACAGGCATCTAGATAACTCTTTGTTCAGTTTGGCTGCGGGAGACCCTTCCAGAGGGCAGTTCTTTGGGCAGCCAGGGCAGAGTTACTCCATGCTCTGACTTTTCCCAAGCACTTTTAGTATCTACTTTCTTCCTCTCTTCCAATTGCCTTTAAAATATACTTCCAAAAAACTACTTGTGCCTCTCATTGGAGGTAAAATCTTACATATCTGAAGAAATGACTCCTTTGTTATTAGAGTTTAAAAAATTGATTATTCCAATAAAGATTTTAAAAATGAATTCATTTAGAAAGTGTGCTGATAACAGCTATTCTCTGAGGCCTTTAATTCACTGTCATATAAAGATTAAAACTATCAATTTATCACTGTCATTTAAAGATTTGAACTTTATCACAGTAATGATAAAGCTTATCAGTTGAGAAAAATTGATCATTCTATTTTCCCCTTCTCTGTCTTTTAGGTATTTCCCAATTACCACATCTATCCTCCAACTGCACCTCACGTTGCTTATATGCAGCCAAAAGCGAACGCACCTTCCTTCTTCATGGCTGATGAACTGCGACAGGTACGCTTTCAGGGTTCAGAGTAGAAACAGTTGATGTCTGTCATTCTTTAGCAAAGAACTGGAGAAACAACAGAGCTCCTTTCAAATTATATTATTTAATTAGATATGCTGTACTGAAGCAGATAGAATTTATGAGTTCTAATTGATATATTTATTTAAGGAAATGTGTTTTTCAAGACAATTGCAGGTAATACAAAACATAGAATAGCTATTTAAATGGACCACCATTTTGCACCTCACGTCCTGTGCATTGAAAAGCCTCTGAAGTATATAAAATAATTTAAATGGTTTCTGATCTCTAAACAAATTTTTGCTAATATCTGTAGTTGTTAGCTAATAGGTAATTTGGCCTAGAAACGAACCTCATTTTAAGAAAGCTCAAAATTTTCTACAAAATAGGTTTTATAAAATAATTTAATTTTTTTGTTGTTAAACAGGTGTTACTTGATATGTAGGATTTTATTTTACTCTTAGAGCCTCAGAAATGGTTTTATTTCACAGAAGTAAGTTGCACCCCCAGAATATTGTTTGTGGAGTGAATTATTGACCACAGAGCTAACTGTAGGCTCTGAGTTGTAACACTGCTACTTGAAACCAACTAGAGTTATGGGCAGGTCTAGCTGGGACTGGAATTTAGACATTTTACCAGTATTGGAAATGTCATTTCATGATATTAGTATGATATCAGCATGAAAAGTGCACATGCCAAAACTATTAATGGTTATGTTATTCAGTTACAATAAAAAGTCCATATTTCAGAAGCTGTCTTTAGATATAAATAAACTTATTTTCTTTTCTTAGGAGCTGATAAACAGACATTTAATAACAATGGCTCAAATTGATCAAGCGGATATGCCAGGTAAAATGCAACTTGATTGATCCTTCCTTTTAAAGAAGAGTATAATCCTTACATAGTTCCATGGTTTTTATGCCTTATGCCAGCTAATTAATACTGTTTAATGAATATATTTGTTTGAAATCTAGTTAAGAATTCCAAGATGCCGTTGGTCATCTAGTGTTTTTCAAATAATTCTACATGTGACAAGATTCTAGTTTATCCAAAAAATAGGCAGTTTTAGAATTTCCACTGTGATTTATCTCACTGTGCATTAGAATGTTATGATCTTTTGAAACCTGACAAAGTATAGGTACTTAAGTAGGAGTGGGAGGTGATTGTTGCTGTTATTATTATTAACATTGAGACTGTGGCATGCCTGTGTACTAAGGCTTTCTGTGTGTAAGTTTTTTCTTTGCAAAGCTCCTGTGGTGTACTTGCTAATATTATCACCTCTGTTTCACTTGTGAGGAAACTGAAGGTAACAGGCAGGTTAAGTAACTTGCATCTAAGACCAGTGGCTAGTAATTGTCTGACCAAATCAGGGTTTAAACCTGTATTTTTTTGGCTGAATTGTAGTGTTTCTCAGAGTGCATTAAAATCTCTTTCCTTAGCTTATTCTGTAAAGGCAAGATTAAATGTGGTTTTATTTAGCAAAACTTTATAAATAATACAGCAGGAATACATTTACTGTAGCAGTAATCTCAAAATACCTGGTTGTAATCAAGGACTCAGCACAGTCAAGTGTGTATCTTCTTGACTGCTAAAGAATTCAAAGGAGTATGTCTGGCTATTATGTTTCAAGACTGATCTTTTCTACTTTAGTTGGTCAGGAAACTTTTCTGTCATGGCCTTTGAAATGTTCATGTTAGAATTTTCCTTAATATCAAGCACTGTCTTTGAGGCCCTAGCCAGGGCAAAAAATAAAAAATAAATAAAATGAAGATGCTATTTACAGTAGTTTCAGAGTATCAGTACCTAGAAATAAATACAAGATACTTAACATCTCAGTGAGGGAGATTTACTAAGAAATGTTAAATAGGGTAAATATATAGAGTGAAATACTATATTTATGAATAAGAAGACATAATGATTATCAATTTTTGTAAACTAATACATAGATTTAGTACAATTTTAGTCAAAGCACATGAGTTAATTTTACTCACAGTACTAACACCTGCTTCATGTCTAACAGTTTAATTGTTAAGGAAGGGTTCGATCCCGTAAGACCACTCCTGCATCAGATGTCAGCTGAAATGGGGTACCTAGGCTACCCAGACTTCTGTCTGGGCAACTACAAATTTGGGGGTTTCTGCTGGATGCCCTCAGGTTTGGGAATAAGCTGGGATGACTCACAGAACTCGGGAAGACACTGTATGAACTATTCCTGGCTTACTATAAGGGGTGCAACTCAGGGAACAGCCACATGCAAGAGATGTGTCGGGCAGGGGGTGGGGGTGGGGGACCTCCTTGCCCTCCCCAGTGTGCCACCCTCTCAGTGCCACGTCAGGCCCACCAGCTGTGTGTGAGCTCTCTGAATCCCGCTGCTGAGGAGTCTTTATGGATGTTTTGTTGTCAAGGCATGTTGGTTACATTTCTGGCTCTTGGCAGTTAACTCAGTCTTCAGCTTCTCTCTCCTCCCTGGAAGGTTGGGAGATTGCCTGAAAGTCTGGTGGCTCAGAGGGTAAAGCGTCTGCCTACAGTGTGGGAGACCAGAGTTCAATCCCTGGGTCGGGAAGATCCCCTGGAGAAGGAAGTGGCAACCTACTCCAGTACTCTTGCCTGGAAAATCCCATGGACAGAGAAGCCTGGTAGGCTACAGTCCATGGGGTCGCAAAGAGTCTGACATGACTGAGTGACTCCACTTTCACTTTCCACTTCTAATCAAGGTTTGGTCTTTGTTTCTTTATTTTTTTTTTTTAAATTATATTGCACATAACAGAGCTTTTCGTAGTATATGATAGAATTTATCAGAAAGTGAAGGTCGAAGACTCCCTGCAACACTCTGAAGATTGTGGTTAGGGTTCTGGTGTGTGGGGAGGGCAGGCTTGGCTTGAGTCTGTAGTCCCTGCAGTGGTGCGGTAATGGCACTGGGCTGGACGTCCTGACTGCTGGAGCAGGCTAGGGAGAGGTGACACAGGGGCTCATCGGTGGGGACAGGAAAGTGCGGGGAAGATGGTTTTCTTCATGGTAGAAGGTTGCATTCTTACAGTTGTATCATCTCAAACCACATGCAAAAACTGCAAAAACAGATAGATTAAGAATTTAGATGTCTAAAACAAAATGTGTAATGTCTGTAAATGATAATACAAAGCTTTAAAACTCATAAATTTAATGTTTCAATAGGGAAAGATTTCCTATACTGGAGGCAAAGTTTGTTGACTCTTCAAATACTGATAAACTTTATCGAATTAAAGTTAAAAACAACCCAAAGATATCTATAGTAGAGAAAAAGCTTAGATGTTTACATGTTTGACAAAGAAAAGAAAATTAAAGCCACAGATTAGTAAGACCTTAAAAACAAAACTGAGAAGTGGCCAAAAATAGGAGTAGGCATTTCAAGAAAGTGGAAATTTATACAGCCAAAAATTATGAAGAAATGTTGAACATCATTGATGATTAGGAAAAGACAAATAAGATACCGTTGGAAAGTTTAATATTTATAAGTGATAATCCAAATTGTTTCTAAGAGCTGAGAAACAAGAGTTGTGCTATTACCAAACATAAATATTTTTGAGTTCATGAAGTCTAGTTCTTTTGTTGTGTTATAATGTCTGTTTTTATTGATTGTGAGACTGGTGTGCCCTATAGAATGGACACACTATGAATGTTGACACTCTTCTAGAATACAGAGTATTTGATATCAGTCATTTGTGGATTTGGTTTCTTCTTTTTTTCTTTGAGATCTGAGAGATTTATGAATGTTTGCAAGCTAAAGTCATCTTCTTATGAATTATTCTAGCAGTCCCTTCAGAAGTTGACAGCTACCATAGCCTGTTCCCTCTAGAACCACTGCCACCACCCAACCGGATACAGAAATCAAGTAATTTTGGATATATTACATCCTGCTACAAAGCTGTAAATAGCAAAGACGATCTGCCTTATTGCCTTCGGAGGATACATGGTAAGGAACATAATTTATCCTCTTTTAGGAGCATATTATTGAGGCTGAGATTATCCAGATATTCCTGAATGAGTTTATTTAATTAACATGAATTTAAAGGATAATAAATACATTTATTGTTTCATTTGGAAATTAGTATCTCATTAAGGGATATATTGGGCTTCCCAGGTGGCTCCGTGGTAAAGAATCTGCCTCTCAGTGCAGGAGACTTGGGTTTGATCCTTGGGTTGGAAAGATCCTCTGGAGAAGGAAATGGCAACCCACTCCAGCAGTCTTGCTGGGAGAATCCAGTGGACAGAGAAAGCTGATTGGCTGTAGTCCATGGGGTCCCAAAAGAGCTGGACACGACTTAGCAACTAAACAACAACAAGGGATGTATAATACGGCTCTTTTGGCACGTTTCTGGGGAAGTAAGGGGGAGATGTCATTTCCGGTTAAGCAGAAAATGTTCTCTTTTTCAGGTTTTCGTCTTGTTAACACAAAGTGCATGGTATTGGTCGACATGTGGAAAAAAATTCAGCACTCAAATATTGTAACCTTGCGTGAAGTATTTACCACTAAAGCTTTCTCAGAGCCTTGTGAGTGACTTGTAATTGTCTCTCTGCTGGTGGGCTTCATTGTTGGAAGCCAGGTTGCAATAATGAGCGTTTGTGTTTCATTTCAAGCTCTTGTGTTTGCATATGATTTCCATGCTGGAGGAGAGACCATGATGAGCAGACACTTCAATGACCCCAACACAGATGCCTATTTCACAAAGAGAAAGTGGGGTAAGGCGATGATGCAAGAAAGCTGAGTTTGACAGGGCCTTTGCTCTGTGAAAGAGTAGTTCTGTGTTTTAAAGTACTTGTAAGTTTAGCCCTATTCAGTTTAAAGACCATACTGCATTTTAAAAAGAAATACTTTAAAGAAATGGAGTCAATATGTAACAAGTTAGGAAATAACATACTATCTGTAGATGGAGATGAAGATGGGTTATGAAAGACTTATGTAAATATCTGAAATTTATGTAGCTGAGAATATGATAAAGGTTTTTCTCCTCTTGTTTTTTCTTTAAAAAATGTTATGCTTTCTGAGTAAAATGGTTTGGGAAATTCATTAAGTTGAAAAATAATTTCTGTAACTTCACCACCCAAAGCATCATCATTATAAGTCTCTTGACATTTCTTTCTTGTTTTGGTTTGTTTTGTCTCTTTTGCATAGTCCAGTGTGACTCTCTGTTATTTACATAATTGTTTCCCTGAACAAATATTTTGCTTTAAGGTAAGATTCTGTGTTAACTAAAGGAACTAGTCTTCAAAAAATTTTCAGGTAACTTTTACTTAAATGGGGAATATTTTCTTCATCTAGTATTTAAAGAATTGTTGTATTATTTATATATTGCAAAGAACTAAAATGTCATTACATTCTAACAAATGCTTATTGAAGGGTAAATCATTTCAGAGTTAATTCATTTTGCAATGTCTATTAATTAGTTTGTTTTGGGGGAAGGAAAATGTATGTATCATTTTTTGTTTGGGGGCAGAAAAGTGTTACCCTTTATGTTGAGGTTATTAATTTGCTAAAGATTTTCCTGAGTGTATCCTGAGAGGAAGCAAGGAGAGAGAAGGCTGGAGTCTGCCTGGCATCACAGATAAAATATATTACTTGTTTGCTCCTAACTTTGCTTTCTGACAGTTGAAAGAAGCAAGCTGTGGTTACATGGCTGTTTTGCATTAAAAATCTGGTCTCAGAGTGTGGTCATTTTTTTCCTTTTGCCATGTCATCAGTAGCACACACATGATTTTGTTGAAAGGGATGTGGTATAACTTTTCCTATAGAGAAATATAGCTGTAGTTGTTCGTTTATTTTAGTAACAACAGCTGTGAAATGACTGTTGGCTTTAATTTATAGCTGGGTTTCTCAGCCTCAGCACTGTTGACATTTGGGGCTGAATTAATTATTTTTGTAGGACCATTCTCTGCCTTGCTGGGTGTTTAGCAACATCCCCACTGTGTACCCACTAGATACCAGTAGCAACCCCCTCCTCCTGTTGTGACACCAAAAATATCTTGAGACACTGTCAGATGTCCCTGAGGTGGCAAAGGTGATCACTGTTGAGAACCACTGATTTATAGCACTCCTTTTTAGGTTTTTTTTTTTGTTTTTTTAAATCTTAATTCTGCTTTTGGTGTTTGATTATTTGGTATGTTTACATTTTCTTAGGAATCAGTTCATTTTCTAGTGTTTGAAAGTATTTTTTGGTGGTATTAACTCCTCTAAATGTACCATATATACTTTAATTTATAGCAATTTATAATCTCTGTTTTCCAGTATGAATATTGAAAATGAAGGAAAAAAGAGCCAATGTTTACATAAACTTGTAGAGACATAGATGGAAGTATAATGCTTTCTTATACTATTTAATTTGTTAATTTAAAACAAAATAAAAAATGGCAGGTTGTAAGAGATAGTAATAAGAGAGTGGTAATAATAATAGCATACCTTATAGGGATTGTGGTAAAAGGTTTAAAATGACATACTGTGGGTAAAGTAACTAGACAGAATCTGGCACAAAGTATGCAATGTATTTGCTACAAATATTTTTTTCCCTATTACCACACTTATTAAATAGCTTTATTTGACCGCTTCCTGGTTGTCATATATGTCTACTTTTTGAGTCATTTAACATGGTGTTCCAGATGGTATTATCTTCAGTTCTGTCTAAATTTGAGGGATAGCAGTTTTTGAATTTTGTATTTGTTCTTCCTTGGAAATTTTGTCTCAAGCCATAAGTACTTACTAGCTGTTTATTAGCTCCACAGTTAACCATTTAACTGTGTTGCTTTTATAACTGATTCAGTAAAGGTTTGTTTACAACCATTTGAACACTTGGATTTATAAGGTCATGTTCCCTGAAATAATTACAAAATCTAATTAAATTTATGAGGTCCCTTTTCTCTTGGTTAACAGTGACCCAGAAAATTATATCAAGAAGCACTTACAAGGTTGATAGAATCAAAAGGATTACTTTTCATGGTAGACTGGATTATTTTTATGTTTCAACATTACTACGCATAAGTGGCATAAGTGACGTTCAGTGTTTTACATTTATGTTTTCTGTTAATTGGACATGGTTGTAATAGAAGAGGCTGGGCAGCATAAGGACAATAAGAAAACACTCCACAGAGATGTTGGTGGAGACTTTGTTTCCCTCAAGCCATGGAAAGAATAGTTCCCACACACCTGAGCAGTAATAGAGACAAGGTTTAACCACTGTTTAAGAAAAATAATCCCTTCAGTTCCTGTTTTTAATCAGAACTTGGTTCACAATTAAGCTGAAGTTCTTACTTTAATAATTTTTGTTTGCTGTGCAATAATTATAGTGGTCACAGAAAAGAGAAGCTCAGTGAGAGCTCTGCTACTGCTGGCATTATAATACTGAGGTGTAATATCGTACGTAGGAAAATTTGGGTTTGTTTCTTGAGTTCTTTTTGATCTGCATGTTTTAGTCTTATAGTTAGTTACATGAAGGTGCGATTTTTTTTTTTTTAATTTGTGTTTATAGGTCAACATGATGGACCGTTGCCCAGACAGCATGCTGGATTGTTGCCAGAATCTCTTATTTGGGCATATATTGTCCAGCTGAGTTCTGCACTGCGTACCATTCATACCGCAGGTTTGGCATGTCGCGTTATGGACCCAACAAAGATTCTGATAACTGGCAAAACAAGGTACTGGCATTTTGAACTCTGGCTTCTTTATCGATCATCTAACCTATGACAGCTTAGTAAACATAGCATGAGGATTTGTTTTAATCCTACCTTTTCATATATTCCATCCAGAAGAACTGCTGTGACTTTGAGTTCATTTGTAAGTTTTTTTTTTTTTTTTACATGCTGAGTTTGTAATAAAATGCCTTGTTATTAACCAAGATCTTATAGGAGTTTGGGAGTTATGTATGGTTAGGGTTGGGGGTATATCAACCAGTGTCAGTACAAGTTTCATATGTACAACTATCAGTCTCAGATTTTGACATGAGTCCCCATGATCTGGAGAAGCTTAGTCAGCACAGCCTGTTGGGCTACACCCCCAGAGCTCCCATTCATGGAGTCTGGGGCGAGGCCTAGGAGTTTGCATTTCTAACAAGGGGCGATTGATGCTGTTGCTGCTGATTGGGTTTCATGCTTTGAGAACAAGTGATCTTACAGATACCTTGACTTCACCAGCGTTTGAGTTGCTGAAATTTTGAGAATTGTCTTGGACAGTATAGCATGAGGAGCTCAAGGTCTTAGTACCAGGTTACCTGGATTCATGTCCTGGCTCTGCTAGTTACTTAACTAACAGCAAGTTACATGTGTGTTCAGCAGTCTGTGAGACAGGTGCTGTTGTTATCTCCATTTTCCATATTTGTAAGGTACCTGCCTCATAAGATTATTCAGAGGACCAAATAAATTAATACATGTAAAATGCTTTGAATGTGCCTAGCACATCTTCATCACCTGTTAAGAAGCTAACTGGTTCTCTTTTCAGGCGTAACTAGTAAAGAAGCATCTAGGTTTGGGGAAAAGAAGCAGTGATCTGATAGCCAAACAGCACAAGTTGCAGTCTTGGCTTTATCCATTCCCGGCTTTCACAACCAGAGGCCTGTCACTTGAAGTCTGTGACGTTATCTCTGACGTGACTGGCAGGGGTTACATGGGGGTAGGGCAGGCGGAAGGCCTGGCCAGGATGCTGAGATCCCTCCCAGTATCATCAGAAATGTTCAGTTTCCACTAGGATGTAAGTTTTCAAAAGTCTCATTTTAATTATTCTCTCTAAATTTTCTGATCTTTAAAGGTTGCGAGTAAATTGTGTTGGAGTTTTTGATGTTTTAACATTTGATAACAGTCAGAATAATAATCCATTGGCATTAATGGCTCAATACCAGGTGAGTAAGAATTAACATGGATATTTACTTAATAATTTAAGGCTTGAATTTTTTTTTTTTCAAGATAATTTTTTTTTAAAAAATTTTAAAAGCAGTTCAGAATTTTAAATGTAGATCTCAGTTTATTCTGGGGGTGGTCTCTATGCAGACTTGGAATGTGCATTTCTTAACCACTATGGTGTGTTCAGTGTAGCGCCCTTAGAAGTTGTAATATACAGAATTAGTGGCAGTGTCAAGAGACTAGTAGTTCAAATGAAAATGCATTTATATGACTAGGAAATTCATCCTCAGCATAGATTAGAACATTAATTAGCTGAATGAAATACAGTAAATGACATTTTACTTAGTTTTCACTTTTTAGTATGTTAAAATCACACCTGTTGTTTTTACTTTTATGGTTGTCCCACTGTCAATCCAAAACTTTTATTTTCAAAGGAAAGGTGTTGTATAGCTGTTTTCTAAAGGATTCTTTTTCTTTTCGTTATTCAAAACCTATCACTCACTTCTTGTACATCATTAGAATTTGGTTAATAGTCTGACTTTATCATAATATTGTGGACTGAGGTTCCATTGTGTTCTTAGCTATTTCATTCTTATTTCTTGATTAATGCAAGGTATGGGTAAGAATCCACCTCTGCAAGAGCTTTCAGTGTGGTTGCTTTTGCCTATTTACTCTGTGCAAGTGATATAGCTATTTAAAGTCAGTATCTCATGTCATTCTGTTTGTATTCATATTTTTTGGAGGATGTGCAGTTGTCATTTTAAGACAGTGTGTGTTTGTTTTTTTAATGTAAGGAGTTTTTGGTGATTCTGAACATTTATTAACTTGGGGAGATTTGATGTAAGGCAAAATCTCTTATTTACATGGAGAAACAGGGAGAATACCTTACCTTCCCACTGCCCTTCTCATTTCATTTTCTTTTCTTTAAATCTTTGAAAGATTTTAGTTTGCTTTATTAAAATTGAGATAAATTCAGAACAAAAACGAAAGGCCTGGATGAGAATTAGAGTGTAAGTAGCGTGTGATATTCCGGTTAGTTCATGCTTAAACCTCTTCCTTTGCTGCTGGACGGTGGACAGCATAGTCCCCAGACTTAGAGCCACTAGTCGTGTTCAGTTGTTTGCAGCCTTTTCACAGCTTCCTTCCCCTCTGTTCGGACCCACTTACCCCCAGCAGCTGCCAAGCTGTTCTGGTTGGTAGCGCCATCTAGTGGGCTCTATGTGGAAGAATCTGGCCACCCTCCAGTCCCCTCATCCTCACCCAACCCCCACCGCTAGCAGCTTTCTTCTGCAGAGGGGAGTTGACTCCCTCTTTCTTATCCTGGTTGGTTGTTTCTTAGCTACTTTCCTGCTTATCATCTGTCTTATACTTAGTGCCTAACTAATTGGCTCTGAAAATTTTCCTTCATAATCTTTGTGCTCCTGAAAGTGACTGATTATTGACTGTCAAAATGGTAATGATCTTTATATATCCAAGAAAATAATACTAAACTTTGGAAGAGAAATTAGACATTATTTAGAACCAGTGCCATCAGCCTCTGTTGCAACTATTAGGAAACCCTCTGTCCACAGAACTGGTGTTGTGTTGTTTATGTGCAGCCTCATGGTACCTCTTCATTCCTCTTTATTCTGAATAGCTCCTTTTTCTTTTTAATTACTAGTGAAAGATAAGACTAGTTTGATTTTGTTTCTCTGTAAGTATCACAGCAGGGGTGTTTTCCATTTTTTTATTTTCGAATGTCCTTTATGTTTTGGATTGTATAGTTAGTTACCTTGAAAGATCACATTTCATAAGAAAAACCAATTCCAGAGTTTCAAAATAAACAACTGTAAAATAAGCATTTGGGCCAACTGATTGGTAGGTTAAGATCTGCCCCCGTTGATAAACTCGGGCTACTTTCAACCAATTGTCAGCCTCCCTTTATTTTTCAAAGGCAAAGATTGTATCAGGTTTCCTTTCTTTTTTGGAGTGGGTGTATATATGGATTTTCCATATAGCTTATATAAGTAAGGTAAAGGAGAGAATTCATGGTAGTTCCTAGTGGGGGGGTTATGATTTTACAGAGAAGAGGGTACATGAGAAAGGAGTGTATTGTTTCTTGTAGTCTATTTTTCATAGTCTGTTTCAGACACGTGAATAGAGACTGACTTTCAGTAAAATGGACATAAGTAGAGCCATAGATAGAATCAGAGAAAAATCAAGAAGTCAAGAATCAGGAAGAAACTGAAAATGAGTTGGGGGGAAAGCCTCCAGAATTCAACAAATGGGGGGAAAAGCCAGATGGAGGTAAGAAGCAAAAATAACAAACGGAACACTATTTAGCTGGGAATAAGGAAAGGAGAGTTACTGAGTGCTTAATGACATTACAATGTCTCTGTCCAGCAGGACTTCATTAACCTCTTTTATTTGAAAAAATCAGTTCTGATTTAGTCTGGGTTATGTGATGTGTATACTTCATTTTGAGGTGCATATTCCCACCTTGACCCAGCTTCAGAAAGGTGGCAGATGTACTCAGAATCAGATGGACTTATTTCTTAAACCCATATAGTCCTTCAGCTGTTTTGTGCTTTTGTTTTCCTGTTTTCCAGTCTTGTAATAGGGGGTGCTCTAGGCGGGAGATTTAGTTATAGCATTGATTCAGGGTGGAGCTAAACTGAAGATTTTGCTGTTTGAGGGTGGGGATGTTGTGTGTTGCTACATGCTGCTGAAATACCTAATAAACAGTAACAAGCTTAAGTTTGCTTTGCTGATGACACTGAATTGAAGCACTTGTAGACTTTTACAGTTTGCTTTTCCATGTACTGATTTCTGTCGATCAGCATGTTTATGATTTTCTTTATCTAACTTGGAATGTTTTATTGATCCGGAGAGAGACTGAGAGGAGTCCTGCCTGAGTTCAGTCACAGCTATGGGTCCAGAGAGCAAGGACGATGCCACAGCATTCATGCCCCTTCCCGTGGCACCTGCCCTCCCAGCCTGATCTCCAGACTCGGCCACTGACGGAGTCTTACAGTTTCTCTGACATGAATCCTTGGCCTCTCTTTTCCTGATGGATTCAGAGTTGTTTGTCTGATAATCAATTTTTCCACTGATTATATTATAGGATCTTAGGTTCAGAGTATCAGATTCACCAATGCTAGATTTGAATTTTTTAACGTTATTTTAGTCATGGAGTTTGATTTCTTTTTATTTTTTACTCTTTGGGAAGGATGTTGTTAAGGATAGCTATCTAGTCCTAAAGTTTCAGTAGCAATTGCCTTGAAATACTCACCTGAGTGTGCAAATAACACCATTTATAAACTACAAAACCAGTGGCTCTCAACCCTGGCTGCATATCCGAATCTCTTAGGAAGTTTTGAAAAATACCAATATGTAGATCTTACCCCAGACTAACAACACCAAAATAGGATGGAGGGATAGCCACTGGGTGATTTTTTTTTTTTTTTAAGCTTCTCAGGTGAATTTTATTGTAAAGCTAGGTTTGAAAGCTCCTATGGAATATTTATTTATTCCATAAATAAACATGTATCCAGTAAATCAGATGAGATCTCAAATTGTGAAGATTTATGCGAGTTTTCCATAGAAATTACTTAAAATGATTTCCTTGAACTCTGAACTGTTCCACTGTCTCAGAGGTATATGATTACTGATAGTTAACCTTGCAAGCAGGGCCAGTTAGGTGACCATTCTGTTTCTAGGAGTTATTATTAGTCAGCTGTCTTTTAAACATTCTTTTGAAAGAGAGACCTCAAGGGAGGAAATCTTTCAAAGAAACAAACAAAATGAGTAGGAAATGAGGTGGTTACAGAGCTCAGAGATCGACCATAGTGTGAAAATCTGTCTGCTAGGAAATAAGGGCAGATGGACTGTTATGGAGGTTTGCAGCATTGTTGATGTCTAGAGAATGTGCTCTGAAATCAGGTATTGTGGACATTGTGTTTGGAATAAGGGAATTACTTCCCTTTCAAATAGACTCTCACTTTTGTGCATCATGGAAAATGAAGAAAGTGCCAATCATGAATGTAATGATTACTGTGAAGCAGCTGTTTGGTAACCAGCCTCAAATGTCCTGCCATAGTAAGAATATGAGCTTTATTTAAGTATAAACATTTGGGGGGAAAAAAAGACAGTAAAGCAGCAGTTCTGTAGGTGGCATATGAATTGTTTTGAATAATGTTTCTTAAAGTAGCCCCTAGGAGTACCTTCATTAGAATTACCTGGGTACTTTAAAAAGTTTGGGCCTGTTCCCAGACCTACTGCATGAGAATCTGGAGTGGAGTTGCTCAGTCTTTTTAATGAAGGTAATTCTGATGAGCGCCAATATTTAGGAACCTTGTGCTTAGTTCTTCAGCTTCCTTGTAAAGATGCTTTTTCCATGCAGGCAATAGTGTCAGTGTATTAAATTTGTGCCTATGAAAGAAAAATTAAAAGTTATATTTATTCTTTCATGTCAGCAAGCAGATCTGATATCATTAGGAAAAGTTGTGTTGGCTTTGGCTTGCAACTCTTTGGCAGGAATTCAGCGAGAGAATTTACAGAAAGCCATGGAACTGGTGACAATCAACTACTCCTCTGACCTGAAGAATCTGATTTTGTAAGTTTTAATGTAATGATCTTATGAGATAAGACAGATTTTTCATGAGAGTCTTTAAACAGTGATTCTATTGATTTTTAGTTTCCACTATTTAAAATCAGGCAAAACATAATTAAACAATTTTTAATTTATTTTTATTGCTAAGTATGTATTTCTTGAAATAAATTCATAAACCAGTGTGTTTAAATTAATTATTGGTGTTTTAAACATTTGGCCAAAGGGTAGACCCCCTAGAGATGCATTGGTATCTACGAGCTACATAAGATGTTTTAAATTTAAATAAATTACAGTTAAATAAAATTGAAACGATTCAGTTCCTCAGTTGCACCACGTACATCTCAAGAGCTTAGAAGCTGCATGTACCTTCTGGCTCATATACTGGACAGTGTGAACATGGAACATTTGCATCATTTCAGAAAGTCCATTAGACAGTGCTGCTCTCCAGAGTGGTCAGTATCTTTGTAAGAGCTATCATAAATAACCCCATCTACAGCCCAGTTGTGTGGAGTGTGGCCCACACCCCTGTTTCAGAGAGCATGTGTGTCAGGGTCCCTGTGCTTCTCCCCCAGTGTCTTTATACTCCAGGAAATCCTTGATTGTAAGTCTGAAATGACTGGGTCTTGAGAGAAGCCCAGTCCACTGTGGACTGCTGTCATGATGGTCTATAAGATGCATCTGACATCGGGGATTCTGGAGGGGGGACAACCAGAACTTTTATTTTAAATGATTCAGGAGAAAAGATGCTAGGAAGTCTCCTTTGAAATTTTTTTTCTATGATGTTCTAGAAGCAATTAGAGCTTATTGATCCTTTTCAGTCTCTTTTAGCTTCCAGCTGTTCCTTCTGATCTTTCTGTGTAACCCTGGATGATCCAGTTTCTTTTTGGACTAGCCCTGTGGTATGGAACTGAGGGACGGAGGATGGGGCTGCCCACCTGTGCTTTGTTACACTGGCCTAAGTGTCCTGCTTGTGACAGAGCACTGGAGCCAGTGGTTGCCTGGTTCCTCTTATGATCAACTAAGATGATTTCTCTTAAGTAAAAATATTTGTTTCGTATATTATCACAGCAGTGATTTCTAGCCATAGCTTGCAACACCTAGGATGTTTTAAGTAATCTCAAGTCATAATTTTCCCTTTTTATAAAAGTGAGAGTAAAGGATATAAGTGTAATAAATTGGCCATAAATTAATAATTATTGAAACTGGGTAATGGGTACATGAAGATTCATCATACTCTTCTCTCTCCTTCTATAAATGTTTGAAATTTTCCTTAATAAAAAGTGAATAAACAAAAGTCATACTTTCATACTAACCAGAATCAAAATTTACAGAGCAGTAAACTATGTATCATGTACTTTTGAGCTGATTGATGTGAATTATGAATTAATTCACCTAATTCTCCCAATAACCCTTTAAATTAGGTACCATTACTAGCTCCATTTTAAAGATGTCAAAACTGAGGCTGGGAGATATAAAGTTATTTACTTGCCAAAGTCACATAGCTTATAATAACTTAAAGTGTGAGTAGTTAGATATAAATATGTCAGTAATTACAGATGAATGGCTAAGACATAGATTGTCCACATGAGTTTATAAGCGTTCATTTATTCAACAAAAGAATGCCTAACTGTGTCAGATGCTGAAGCTACCTTGTATAAGATGAACAGAATCCCCCATCTTCTGGAGCTTCCCCCCATTATAATGGGGAGGAGTTAATGAACACGTCAACAAGTAAGATGTTTGCAAGATAGAGATAAGTCCTATGGAGAAAATAGGTATAATTATAAGCAGAGCACAGAAGAGTTAGAAGCTGCTTTGTTAGGAATGGTTAGGACACAGCTGACCTGTCAGAATACTAATACTAAATGATCGATAATCATTGCGTTCTGACAGGTAGCCCTTTGAGACGTGTAGTATTTTTCTGCCTTAGTTATGATGGTAGAAGAAACTGTTCTTTTTCCTGATGTGTGTTAGTGCATGGAGATTTCTCAGAAATAAAAATACCCCGACAGCTGGCAAATGAAGTCACAGAGCAGGAGACAGCTTCTTAAAAACCTGAGGGTTGTTTCCCTTACCGAAATGAAAGTCTGAGTTTTAGTTTAAAAACTATTTTTGAAGACCAATGGAAAAATTTCCCCACTTACAACCACCCCTTCCAAAACTTTTGGATCTTTTCATCTCCCACTATTGTAAAGAAGGGTTTGAGAATGGAAATATGGTAAGTGTAACTCTATACCCAGCTTTCCTTTCTCATTTTCATAGTAGTAAAAGATTAGAGAAAGAGACGTTTTTACAGTTTTTTCCATTGGCTCTTAAAGTTTTCCAGAGAAAAGAAATACAATCATTAAGCTTTAAAAATGAACTCGACTTGCATGAAAAAAAATTTTTGAAATTGTGCACACTAACATGCTGGTGGCAGCAGTCCCTGTGTGCTTGTGGGTTGTGTTGTTCTGTAAACTGCGTGTTTGGCATTCAAGTGATCCTTCTCTATTTTGGTTAGATATTTGTTGACTGACCAAAACAGGATGCGAAGTGTAAATGACATCATGCCCATGATTGGTGCTCGATTTTATACTCAATTGGATGCTGCTCAAATGAGAAATGATGTCATAGAGGAAGACCTTGCAAAGGTAAAGTGTGTAGTTAAAGGAGTGTGTACACACCTGCATCTGTGTGTATCAGTAGATGTAAAACAGAGTAATTACTGTGCTGGATATAGTATGCAGCTGGCTAAGACTGTTTGCAGATATTTTTGTCCAAACTCAGTGTTCAGTATTTTGATTTCTCAGGTCCTCTGGGTGTTTGTCTTATTTTTTTTTTGTTCATGGTTTTGCTACAGTCTTGAGATACAATCTTGATTTTTTTTTTTTAATATGCAGTCTTAGTAGTAGACAGCTACAGCAGGGGAAGAATAAATCACAGGCTTGTGATTAATACATACACCCTACTGTATATAAGATAGATAACCAACGGGGTCCTATTGTGTAGCACAGGAAACTACTCCAGTCTGTGATAACCTATATGAGAAAAAACTGAAAAAGAATGAATACATGTATATGTGTAACTGAATCACTTTGCTATACACCTGAAAGTAACACAAAAACTATAATCCAATAAAAAAAGGGACAGTTGCGTAATCATCTTGAGTATTACAGTATGTGAAAAGAACATGTTATATTCAAAATTATAACCAAAAGATGGGGATATTAGGGTTTATAGTTTAAAGCTAATCTTGGTACAGGATACCAGTTTTATAAACATTTGCTTTTATATTCAGTTAGCTGGAACATTAATATTCTCTCTCTTTTTAAAATGTTTTATAGGAGGTTCAAAATGGAAGACTGTTTAGGCTTCTAGCAAAATTGGGAACAATCAATGAGAGGCCGGAGTAAGGATTTACAGTATTTTACATCAATCAAGGGCACTGTTTTGCATAACCAGAATGAGTATACCTTATTCTTACTGATTTTATTTGGGAGAAGAGAAGAATTCTCATGTAAAGTGACCTTAAGCCTGCTGTTAGCCATTAGGGTGGTGTTTGTGATCACAGCCCCGGTTGTGGTTTTCCTTAGGGATCACATGCGCACAGAGAGAGACACACACACCCACACACGGATACACATACACACAGACACACACTATACACATACACACTACACACACATACATACACCTACACACAGAGACACACACTATAAACATACACTATAGACACACTATACACATACACACACACTACACACACATACATACACCTACACACAGAGACACACACTATAAACATACACTATAGACACACTATACACATACACACACACTACACACACATACATACACCTACACACAGAGACACACACTATACACACACACTATAGACACACTATACACATACACACACACTACACACACATACATACACCTACACACAGAGACACACACTATACACACACACTATACACATACACACACTACACACACATACATACACCTACACACAGAGACACACACTATACACACACACACATACACCTACACACAGAGACACACACTATACACACACACACACTATAGACACACACTATACACATACACACACTACACACATATGCATACACACAGAGACACATACATGCTACACATATATATACATACATGCACACACTATACACACATACACATACACACACTATACACATACACACACACTACACACATATGCATACACACACACTACACACATATGCATACACACAGAGACACACATACATGCTACACACATATATATACATACACGCACACACTACACACACATACACTGTACACATACATACACACACTACACACACACTATACACATACACACACTATACACACTACACACATACATACTATACACATGTACATACACACATACATACACAGACACACACATACATATATACATGCACACATTATACACACATACATATACACACACAAAGATACACACACATGCACACACTACACACATACATAAACACTACACACATACATACACAGAGACACACATACACACTACACATGCACACATACACACACTAACACACATGCACACATACATACACATACACACTGCACACATACATATACACACTGCACACATATACACCACACACACATGCACACATACACACACATGCAGAGAGACACAGAGACACATACACAACACACACACATACTCATACACACATATACAGATACATTCACACATACACACACATACACACACACGAACAGAAAATACAGTATATTAAAAACCTCTGTTGTGGTTTGCCTGTGAGGGAACATTTTCTGCCTGTCAGTACTGCCTCTCCCCATCTGCTTTTTGAAGCCTGTTCCGTTTACCATGGTCAGACTGGATCTTTTTGATATTGCTAATTGTTTCATGCCTCTTATCTTCTGTTAAAGTGCATTGTTTATAGCTGTCACATGAGTGACACTGGAAAGGCATCACCATCTTACATTATTGTTTAGTTCTGCCTTGTTTGTTAGTTAAAATTAATTGTATGTTCAAGAAAGAAGCAAGGTTGATGTTTATGCTTCATATCTGTCCCAAAGTCAAGGTGAAATAGTAGTATAGCTGTGGTGACTGGTATACAAGCTGCTGCTGCTGCTAAGTCACTTCAGTTGTGTCCGACTCTGTGCGATCCCATCCCTGGGATTCTCCAGGCAGGAACACTGGAGTGGGTTGCCATTTCCTTCTCCAATGCATGAAAGTGAAAAGTGAAAGTGAAGTTACTCAGTCATGTCTGGCTCTTCGTAACCCCATGGACTGCAGCCTACCAGGCTCCTCCATCCATGGGATTTTCCAGGCAAGAGTACTGGAGTGGGCTGCCATTGCCTTCTCCGCACAAGCTAAATTTCAAGATTGTTAACTGCTTGCTGTTCATAGAGATAGGTGGTAGATAAATACCATTGCTTGAGGGAGTTTTTTTGACCACAAAATTTAAATTCACTACCTTTCTTCAAAGTTAAAAGATTCAGTTAGCATTTTCCCTAGTGATTTTTCTAAATAAAGAGAATGTGGTCATATGTTGAACCATTTAAAAAGTTTTTAATTACTTCTTCTGGCATTTATCTCTTTATTTAAAAATAACATGCTTAAGTGCTGTTTCTTGATTTTTCGTCAGTGTTTCAATTTTTCTTCAGTTTTTTTCTTCAGTTTTTATTTCTCAGCTAATGACTTTGTCCTGTGGCAGGTGAGGCTGTATTTCTCATACACCCTTCCCTTAACTAAACACAAACACACACTATACCACTTAACCCCTGAATTTTGAGATGAGTATTCAGTGTTGACATTACTAGAGCAAGGTAAATACTTTTTGTAGCTTCACCACACAGTAAATCATGACTACAAAGGAATGTTTTGTATTTTGGTTTTTTATTTTTGTTTTCCTGGTGTGAATACTTGTCTTATGTAGAAAACTAAGCAAGTGAAAACTAGTTACCACCAGTTCATTGTAAACTCGCTGCTGGATATAAAACACCCTTCCATATGGTCAAAAATAAGTAATAACCTCTCAGTTCCTTTTTTCCTCCCCATTAAAGAAATTACCCCCGGGGCCTCTGCCAGCTGCCCCTCTAGGGGCTGGTTGTCTTCCAGCCTGCTCACGCCCTCAGCTGAGACCCCAGGCTTCCCTTCACTCTTGCCCTGGCAGCTCTCCCTCTTCTTGTTCCCCCTCTGTGTTACATGCCCTGTTCCTGGCTTTTTGCATTGGTTTACTCTTCTGCTTTAATAAATCATATCCTTTTGTAGCTTCCTGAGAAAGGGGAGTTTTTCTCAGTGTTTGGAAGTCTAAAAATATCTTTATTCTGCTTTCATACTTTATTGATAATATGATTGGGTATATGTCCTCAGAAAATTCTTTTTATTAATGAAATCTTTTGAGTATAGTGTGTATGAACCAGTTTCTTTAAAAGTAGAAAAGGTTTGCAGTGAAATACCTTTCATACCTGATATCCCCAGTCTCTCCACTCCTCCTACCAGCCTTTAGTTTATTAGTCTCTTGTACATATTCCCTGAGTTAGCAACTGTATATTCTTATCACCCCTCTACTTTAAAATATGTGCAAAATTGTAAGTTATGTACAGTGGTCTGTATATTGCACATGACAGTATGTTTTCTCATAACAGTGTATTTTGGAAATCTTTGTACAGATACGTTTAGTGTATGCCCAGCAATCTTCTCAATAGTTAACAAACATGACCTAACTGAATCCTAGTAACAGCCCATTGTGTGGATACTTCAGTATTCCCTTTTAATAGAGAGATTGAAGCATAGACAGGTTAAAAGCCTCCGGGGTCACACATAAAGTCAGGACTCGAGTCCGGACAACATGTGGTTCCAGAGTCTGTGCTGTCTTAACCACAGTGCCATACTTCCTCATGGTCAGTGGCCGTGTAATAGTCCATCCTGTGGATGCTCTGTAATTTGTCTCTCTAGTTCCTTATCAATGGCCTTTTGAATTGTTCTCAACCTTTTACCTAGTGTAAGCGGTTCTGCAGGGACTGACTTAAGCATACTTAATTTTGTGTGTGTACAAGTGTAGGTCCAACTCTGATTATGAGGTACCTGCTGGAATTTGTAACTGTAATTTGATAGCTGTTGGAAGGATTTACCAGTGTACAGTGCATGAGAGTCTTTCACTAGCAATACTTTTTCCAAACTTCTGGGTTTTTCACAACCTGATAGATGAAAAATTGAATCTCAGTGCAGGTTTTTTGGTATTTACTCATAATGAGCATGTTGCCTGTCTTTCTGATTCATTTTTGTTTCCTTTTCTGTCTGTCTGTTGCTTTGCCCATCTTTATTTCCAGCTGCATTTTCTCTTTTTGCTGTGTAGGAGCCAGAAGGATCTGACCTTTGTGATCCTTTCTTTTAAGTTTGTCATCTTTCTTTTGACTCGGCTCAATTTTTTCCCATATAGACATTTTTATAGTAGTTGTATTGATTGAATTTATTTTTTGCTTCTGGATTTTGAGTCATGGTCAGAAAGTTAGCATTTCTACTCTTAAGATGATCTTATGAAGGGATCATCAAGTATTTTCTAGAATACTTAAGGTTTCATTTTTTATATTAAATTTTTTTATATATTTGGAATTTATATAGTATGTAAGGTATGAATTCACCACCACCCCCACCAGATGACTATCCAGTGGTCCAAAAGCTGTTTATTGCAGAGTCTAGCTTTTCCCACTGGTTTATTAAGGCAGCTGCTCTTTCACTATCTTAATGAATGACATTTAAAATCTAGTAGTGTTAGCTCTTTCTTGTCTCTGCTTTATTGGTTTTATTAAATTTATTAGTAAGCTTAAGGAGCATTTGTGTTTTTTAGATGTGCAGTTACCTTCTCCAAGATAATGGCATGTCACTGTATTTGCTGATGTCTGCTTTAGTATCCTTCAGAGTTTACATTGTTCTTCATATAGTTACAATACACTAAGTTTATTCTTAGGTGTTTTTACTTGTTGCTGTTTTCGATGGAAAGTTCCTCCATCCTGTCTTCTTAGAGCCTTTGTTATTGGTGTATGTGAAAAAAATTGATTTCTATAAATTTTGTAGCATGGGACTTCTAGTGTTTGGGTAGTTTTTCAGTTGATTCTTCTGGGTTTCTCAGTCCTGTCTTCGTATATTGATAGTCATATTTCCTCCCTTCTCATTTCTGTACTTTTGATGTCTCTTGAATGACTGTGTTTGTACCTCTAATTCATAGTTCAGTAATAGTAATGATAGTTTCTTTCAGAATTTGAAACACTGCTCCATTTATTGTCTTTTATAGACAGACTCAAAGCCATTTTCTTTCCAAATTTTTCTTCATCCCCATGCTTTTAGGACAAACCACTCCCCCCCTTTTTTTAAATCATTGATGTGCAGAAATTCACAACGATGGGCTGTGATGGTGGGTTTTTGATTCGTTCTGAAGAATCAACAGATGGGCCTTTTAACCTTGGGAATTTCTATCTTTTAGCTCTTGGAAGTTGTCTTTTTCTTTGTAAACCTCTTTCTGGAATTCGTGCTGCTTAGATGTTAGACCTTTGCAATTGATTTTCTAATATTCTCTTCTGTTTTCCATATTGTGTCTTAGTGTTTTGCTTTGTAGCCAAAAATCTCAACTTACTCTGTCTGAAGTTAAAGCGTTTTTTCCTAATGCTTTAAATTTGTACTTTCTAGGCAATAATCTCAACTTACTTGGTCTAAAATTACAGGGTTTCTTCCCTAATCCTTTAAAATTTTTTGAGTTTCTGCTATATTTTAAATTTCCAAATATTTGTGCTTTCTGAATATTTCTGTCTTACAGCATTTAATTCATTTTTGTCTGAGACTGTCAATTATAGATTTTTATTGAGTGGGTTTTTAAAATTTTTGTTCAACTTTTATTTTGTCCCCTGCAGTATCTCTTAGGAAACCCCACTAATGACTTCCCCTTCAAGCACCCCACAAAACATTAGAGCTCAGGTTTTTTTTTTCGGATCTGCTAAGTCATGCTGCTTACCTGTCTGCTTTTCACCTTTCGAATTTTTGTGAATATTTTTTGTCTCCTATTGTTTCTGATCCCTTTGTCCTTGTGTGTCTATATGTTTTCTTAGACACTTACTCTCAGTTGGCTGGGGTTTTGAAAAGGAACAGAGATAAATGGGTGTGTTTAATCAACTTTTAATTGAAAGACCCTGGAGTGATCTTAATAAAGCAGACACATGACTGTGGGGGGCTTCCCTCTTTGTTCTCAGAATGCAGACCTCATTTTTACATGTGATCTAAGGCTGCATGGCCTGACCTCTCCCTTTTCATCCTTGCTTCAGATCTGCCTTTTTTTCCTTTTAATATCCTCCTTACCTCTTGTGCTGTCTGCCCATCTTTTCTTGTACCCCTCCTTGTCCTCACTCCAGTCATGCACTCTGATCCTCTTTTTCCCCCCAGCGCCATCCAGCCTCACTTATCTTTTCTTGTTTAGGTGCCCCTTGCTCTGTCCCTTGCGCATACTGAGGCCTCTGACCAAGAGGCATACTTCCTTGGGGAGAGCACCATTCCCTCTCTGGAAAGCCTTCCTTGGCTTCCCAGGTGAATTCTTGTTTCTGGTCTATACTGTGTCCCTGTTTTTAAATAGCATTCTCTCCATATGCAATTGCAGCTTTTTGTTGTTATTTGAATATCTTTTCACCACTAACCTATATGTTTCATAGGTCACTGAAAACTCACAGTGACCATCTGGCCAGTTTTCCAGCTCTTTGCCACTCACTTTCACATCATCACATAATGGTAGGAAACCAGTATCTACCCCATTTTGTTTAGTCCTAAACGTTTCCTTGTTTTATGCCCCCAGTAAAACAGAAGACATGTCTGACATCTCTCTCTACCCTATAGAGAGAGGTCATTTGCTTTCTTCCCCATTTTATCTAATGGTAGGGGCCTAAGTGAGGAAGGGATTGTGAAGTAGGAGTATGTAAGGGGGTGATTGCTTTGAGAAGTAGAAAATTGTATTCATATACTTCCATGTTCAGTGAGATTATTTTAAAAAGTCTATGGGCACTCTGGACATAAAAATTAGATTTAAAAAAGCTACACACAGACCCTACTTTCTGGTTGATTATAGACAACAACAAAGCTGGTTTTGAGTCTGAAGTATAAACATACAGCTTTGTGGTGTAAGCATGAGTTATTGAGGTTAATATTCCCTTCCCTCAGGTTTCAGAAGGATCCTACCTGGTCGGAGACGGGAGACCGGTACCTGTTGAAACTCTTTAGGGATCATCTTTTTCATCAGGTGACAGAAGCGGGTGCTCCTTGGATTGACCTCAGTCATATCATTTCTTGTCTTAACAAGGTAATCTGGGCCTGGACTTTGAAGATTATGATGCTCTAATCTCCAGTTTATAGAGCTGCATCTTGTACAAATACTGAGAGATGTAAGGAATTACGTCTCTGTACTCTGCATGTGAAGAGTTGACTCATTGGAAAAGACCCTAATGCTGGGAAGGATTGAGGGCAGGAGGAGAAGGGGATGACTGAGGATGAGATGGCTGGATGGCATCACCGACTCAGTGGGCATGGGTTTGGGTAGACTCTGGGAGTTGGTGATTAACAGGGAGGCCTGGCGTACTGCGATTCATGGGGTTGCAAAGAGTCAGACACGACTGAGGACTGAACTGACTGACTGACTCTGCTGTAATATACAGGGCATGTTATTCATAATTATTAGCTGCTCCCACTTAAGTAGCTGTTTCTAGAATGGGAGTATTTTTTAAAACCCGCATGAATAATTTCAGAATTTTTCATGGTGGATCTTTTTGTTGTGATCAGATGTCACAAAATGACTGCCTTTTCTCCCCCAACCCACCCCCACTGTATTTTATTTACCAGGTGTAGTTTGTTTCAACATATGAGGCCATAAGTGGGAAAGACAAAAATACTTTTGCGTTTAAATATCTTTAAAAGTTGAATTCCTTTCTTTGCAGTCATGGGTCATGTTGAGTGCTCTCAGCTCAGGGTGTCAGTCGAGTGTTGAAACTGAGAGCGCAGTGCCGGGCATGCCACAGAGCCCGCTGTGGTAAATGGGGTGGGTGGCTGGAGGAACCATGTTGGTGGAGGCGTGTCAGAAGTTTATGTAAGAGGCGAGCTTTGTGTTTTAGAGAGGGCTCGGAGAGATGGGGTTTACAGAGGAAGGGAGGAATGCATTTTCCTTGTGAGCTACTTGTAATCACGGAGAGAAATGGATCTTCAGAGGTGAACCCTCTTTTGTTTAGGTTTGTATGTGAAACGGGTTGGCAAGATTGTAAAAACAACAACTAACAACATGAAACAGAGGCTTGTATATGGCCCTGAAATCGAAAGCATTTACTGGCTGGCCCTTCTCTGCTGACCCCTGGTCTAAGCTGTCCCTAAATTGCAACGATTAGAGCAGAAACTAGCCACTGTGGCCCATGATTTAGATCTGTTGGCTACAGTGTGCTCACCCTCCAGATGAAATGGGTTTTATTTTTAAGCATACTTTGCCATGTTTGAATTTCCTTAAAACTCTTTGGAGAGTATTGTCAGTAACCTACATTAAGACAGAACAAGACTATGTATAATTTAGCTAATCTGGTACGATTTATATATTCATTTGTCCTTTTTCTTTCGGAGAAAACATTTTTCTTAAGCATCAAGTGGATGCCGCCAGATTTTAGGAAACAGTCTATAGCATCAAAGCACCAGTGGGTAAAAATACGTAAAACTGGAATAAATACTGACAGGGAGAACCTGTGGAATAAGCCATGAAGAGATGGCTTATTATAGATGAAGATTGTAGATGAAGATTACTTACTGAGTATTAGGATAACTGAAGCTTTGGAGAAAATTCTGTTTCATTTCATAAAATAACTGGGAGTAAATAACTCAGTAAATAAAATAGGAGTAAATAAGTTTACCTTAAATCTGAAAATGTGACAATTTTTTGTTTAGAAAGAGTGTAATAAATTAAAAGGGATGGTCATTTTAGTGATACAAAAATTAAAATTTTACAGATTATTTTGGTGGAAATGACAGAAATTAGATGGTAAAATGATTTGAAAGGCTATTGTCTTAAGAATTAGTGTTAAACATGTTAATGAATTAATGAAAAGGGAAGGAAAAAGGTACATTGAAAACTAACAAAGTGAAAATCCTAACAGGAGAAGTTATTTGATGAACTCAGGATTCTTACTAATGCTTTATAAAGGCCTCATTAAAATATTATTGCCAGATCCTGATAGATAAGGATTTGGTAATGATCATATACTGGCATTCACACAAGTGAAAATAACAGAAGTAAATGTATAAAAACATTTGGTAACATTAGTTAAAAAGATTTAAAAAAATGTTAAAAAAGGTAAAATAGCAAGGCACTCATTTGATGTGGTGTTCTGGTAAATTGATACAGATCATAAATTTGTGCTGTTCAGTGTCCTTTGGAAAGCAGTTTGCCTGTATGTATTAAGCTATAAAATTCCTCAGACTTCTTGATTCCGTCTCTCCTAGGGAAGTAATTCTACAAAAGAAGAAAATTAAGTAGCAAAATGTGTTCATTGCACTGTAATTCATGATGCCCAAAGACTGGGAGATATTGGGGGAATAATTAAAGTCTGCATTTTATGGAGTACCAACTGGATGGAAAGTATTGCATCCAAGTGTCAAGTGTGAAAGACAGAGAGGCAGCAACATAGGGCAATGTTTGTAGAAACACACCTGAGTGGAAAAGTGTGTGCGTACTGACTAGGGATGTAAAATATGTATGATTATCTAGAGGGGGATGTGACACAATTTTTTAAAATTTCATATGTTACTGTTGGACGTGTTGTCCTAAAATAGGCTTGCACTTCACATTTTCTGTGTCTGTCTGTTTCAGTTAGATGCTGGTGTGCCAGAAAAAATAAGCCTCATTTCCAGAGATGAGAAGAGTGTACTTGTGGTGACTTACAGTGACTTAAAGCGATGCTTTGAAAATACTTTTCAAGAACTGATTGCAGCTGCGAATGGTCAGTTGTAGTATTTGCTTAAAAAAAAAAATAGGCGGGATATGGCCAAGGAGCTCAACCAATAGCAAATTGCACTACAGCTGAACTGGCGTCATCTCATCTCACGCCGGGAAGCACGCAGAGGATGAGCAGAGCTGCTTGCACTTGGGTCAGGTGCACTGTTACTTGAAAGAAAGAATGTCTCCCTCAGCCCCGAGCTGTGGCTGCCGGCGGGGCCACACCTGTGAAGAATTTATTTTAGATCAAGGAGCACCATTAGGTGAATGATGTTCCAGCTTTTGTTTTTTTTTTCCCACTTGTATATGCACTAATTTTAATTTTTTAAAGACTTTTTTCTGATCTTTGAACTTTTGCCATGTTGTATACTTATTAAGGGAAACTATTTGCAAGGACACTTTTGGGAAACCATGCTGGGCAGCATTTTTGTTCACTGAGGGGTGCAGAATTTGCTCTTTTGGGGAGGGGTTGCCCTGAATAACATAACAGACCAGGTCAGTGATTTCATGGAAGTACAGTATAGTGCATAGTTCTTGTAAAGAGTATTGTATGCAAGCTCTGTATGCCACCCACTGTTTGTTCAGATTGAGAGGTTTTTTTGTTTGTTTGTTTTGTTTTTATGAACACAGAAAAGTATCAGTGAATTATTGGGCGTGAATTCCCCTCTCAGCTGATTTAAATCCTTTCTGAATGAGGATAGACAGTCACTGAAGGAGCATACAGAACTCTTCGCTCCAGATTCAACCAGAGCCTTTTTTTTTTTATTAAAAAAAAGGTGTTCCCCTGCTAATCAGATAACATTTATGCCGTTTTTTTTTTTTTTAAATAGAAAAAAACATTAAGAAATTGTGTTAAAGGCCTGAAGGTCAGGAGTCTTTTGCTTTAGGTTCTTTCCAGTTTGCTTTTTTTGTATAAAGTTCTGTTCTTTGAACCACAGCTTTACTATGGTACTTTACACTGGACACAGATGCAGAGACACTGTTCAGAAGACAAACTGCACACAGCAGTGGTCTGGCGTCGAGAGCTTTCTGAAGTCTTACAGCCTGGATCTGGAAGGATCACAGTCTGCTGTGCCTTTGCAGTCACTGCTTAGCCCAAAGTCATAGTGCTTTTGATAATAATAACTCTGTGGGGGTATTCCTGAGTCAGTCAGTCTCAAAAGTTTGGAATTTTCCTCCTCTTAACTTTCTTAACATTTGGACGTGCAGTTGTCGCCAAACTTGGGTATTCATGGAATTTCTAGTCAATGAAATACCTGTCCTTAGATACTGAAGACTGCCAAATACATAGGAATTTTCTTTCATAAAAACCAGTAATGAAGACTTTTATCTCCTTTCCCAGCACTGAATGTTTTCCTAGCACTGGGTGCTCACCACACAACGATGAAGAAATGTGGAAACTCAGAAGGTCGGGAGGGACTTCCAGGCACTTGCAACTGATGTGACAGTCTTCAATTTTAATAACTATTCATATTTGTAGTTTTCAGAGAAGTTTTTAATATTTCTCTGTCCACTTTTTATAAGCTTTAAAATGATTTTCTCTGCCTTGAGATTTGCATCAAGAAAAAGCACCTCTTCACCCAAAAGCTTTGAAGACTAGAGACATGCTTTACATGTTTTAACAAGTGTGTTTGAGTCCACGTTTGGTAGCATCAGTTGTTGAGTTAAAAAGGAAATCAATTATTGCATTTGATCAGGATGGATTTTAAAAAGAACATAATGTTCACTATTCAAAGGATAATTAACATTTGCCACCGTAATGTTCTTTTTTTATGTAAAAGGAACAAGAACTTGGAGACATTAACATGCGAAGGTCTTTTATCATTATTAGCTCATGTATTTGAGGAAGAGCAGCTGTCTTTTTATATGTTTTTTGACAAATCATATTGTAATTCTTTTGTACAAAAAAGAACTACTTGTATTCTAGAAGAAATATGAAATGCTTAATTTATAAGCGGGCTGGAGATTTTTTCCAATATTGTTTTCTTTGAAAATGAAAGGGGATCATCTATTTTAGTTTCGGGGTCTGGGAACTTTTTGAAAATTTAATTTGTGGACCAATGTTATGTGAAAGTTAAGGAAGGGCAGGGGTAAAATAGGGCTTGATTTTCTCATTCTGTACAGACCAGCAAACTTCCCTCTGCAAGGCAGGCTCAAATCACAAACCCAAGAGTGCGTCATAAAACGCTAGTTTGCTTCAGCCCCTAGTAACCTCAGGACTTGGTTTGAATATAAAAGGTAGACAACTGATATGTTTTCATGAGTAAATATTGTCAGCCAGAAAACAGTTGGTGTCAGGTAAATGTATTTTTTTTAAGCTTTGTTTTATATTTATTTTTCATTTAGTTTTTATTGGGAATGGTTTTCAATAGCACTCTTATTAGTTCTGCTTAGGTGTTTTTTGGGGGAGCCCTCTTTTCCATAGTGTAATTCCACTTAAGAGGTTGTCTTAAAGTTAGTCTTTTTAATTCATAGGAAGGTTTTAATATCTGAGAGTACTCAAATTAAGGATGTGAGCTTCCCACGCCTCCCTGTCAGGACAGACATAGAAGCACAGCAAGGACAGCCCCGAATCATGTGACGTCGCCGTTCAGCCTCTGTACCTGCTTTCCGTTCTGTCCGTGCATTTACTCATTGTAAATATGTTTGAGGGCACCTTTGTGTTTTTGCCTTTGACCTCGGTTCTGTGATTTGGATGTCAACAGCTTCCCTGAAAAGCACCAGTGTGTTAAGTTCTAATGTCATGACCCCTATCTGGGTTATTTCATCTTTAATCCTGTTTTCAGTCTCTATGTGTACAGCAGTATTTTTAATAAAGAATTACAGAGAGAAGATTGTCCTTTTTTTTTTTTTCTTTTTGGTACCAGTGCGTTTAACAAGAGGATGTTTGTCTTATGATCAGGACTTAAAAGGCTGAATATTTCGTATATGTTTTGGAGGAATTTTGGTCTTTGGGTAAAATGGTGGCAGATTTATTTACTAAGTATCTGTTAAATGCTTAACTTGGACCTGTTCTAGACACTAAAAATGCAGATATGAGTACTTGTTATTTACAGAATGTATAGTTACACCCAAACATTTCTAAATAGTACATGGCACATGGTATAGTTCAGGGAAGAGGAACTATTTCCGTGAAGGGAATGACACCTAGCTCATCATTGATTCAGACTCAGTCTACTGTGTAGATGAAGGCACCCTGCCCCCCACACCCTCCAGAAACATCATATAAGGGTAGAGAATGAAAATATGGCAAAATGTTAATACTCAGCGAAACTAGATACTTGTTCAATAAATATAAGCATACTTCAGAGAGACTGTGGGTTCAGACCCCTGCAATAATGCAGTAAAGGGAGTTGCATGAATTTTTTGGTTTCCCCGTGCATATAAAGTTATATTTACACCATCGATAGCATTATGTCTAAAAAAATGTATATACCTTGACTTAAAAATCTTGCTGGTCGTCATCTGAGCCTTCAGCAAGTTATAATCTTTTTGCAGTAGTAACAGCAGAGATTCCTGGTCACTATAACAAATACAGTAAGAATGAAAAAGTTTGAAGCGCTAAGAGAATTACCAACACAAGCCATGAAGTGAGCAACTGCTGTTGAAAAACAGTGCCTTTAGACTTAATTTGATGCAAAGTTGCTACACAAACTTCCAGTTTGTAGAAAGCACAGTAACTGTGAGGCCTGTCTGTATTTTATTGAATGCCTGTTACCACATTATTGACTAAAGATGTATTAATATGTCTTTTGTTACTCAGATGTTATTGACCAGAAACATATCAATACATTTCTTTTTTTTTTTTTTTTTGAAGAGAGTGGTGCAATTAACACTGTACGAAGTTGTCAGAGCTTGAAATCAATCCTGGATTCGTTATACAACTTAGGGTTGTTATTCACATGTTGCTCTATTAGGTTTTTGTTCCAGTCTTGTGTATATCATAAACAGAAACTTCTTGGAAATGGTGTGCATTAAGGAATTTTGAGTGAAAAGCTTTTTGGTGAACTTTACACAGACACTTTCTCTGATAGGCCAAGCAATATATATACTAGTGTCTTCAGAATGTAGTTCTGATTCAGATGATATGAACATTAGAGCAACAAAAAGACAAAAAACCTTAGTGGTTGATTCTGATACGGAAAGTGGACATGAGGCTGACTGGTGCTGGGGGATGTATTCTTTGCTTCTGTTGAAGAGTAGGTTGAAGACAATGTTTCACGAAAATTAGAAGACTTTACAGGTGTGCCAGGTATTCATGTATTGAATGCAGTAACCCGCAAAGTGTTAATGAAATAACAATGAATTTTGGGCCCGGTCAGAATAAAAATTGTCTGCCACAGCTGTTTCTGCAAAAAGCCCCCAGTCAGTAAAGAGTTAATGCCAGGCATTGAGCTAGGAACCAACAGAATCCTGACCACAGCAAGTATTTGTGTTCTTGTTGCTCAGTTGTGTCCGATTCTTTGTGACCCTATGGACTGGCCCGCCAGGCTCCTCTGTCCACGGGATTCTCCAGGCAGGAATACTGGAGTGGCTTGCCATTTCCTTCTCCAGGGGATCTTCCTGACCCAGGGTTCGAACCCTGGTCTCCTGCATTGCGGCCACCAGGGAAGCTGCCATATAGTAAGTAGTTAAGAGGTTAATAGTGATTATGTGATTAAGTAACATAAAGGATGTGGATTGGGTGCCAGGTTGAGCAAATTAAAACAGCACCAAGTTAGCCTCAGAGTCATGCAGTGTCACTTCTGCCACATGCTGTTGCTTACAGGAGAATTGGCAGAGCCAGCCCTGGTTCCAGGGGAGAGGGACTGGGTGGGGAAGTGGCAAGAACACTGCTGAGGTTCACATGGACTGTTGAGGCTATCTTGGATTGGCCACAGTGTCAAGAGCACATATCATCAATTTAGCATTCTCGTGAGAGTTTGGGGAGAGATCTGGTTGATACGTGTAATTTGCACGTCATTATCCCATAGACATCATTGCAATCCTTGAGGTTGGTTGAGATCATGAAGAGAATTAATATGGGCTTAGAAGAACAAAGGTCTGGGGCAGTGCCCTGGGTTCCCTGGAACACTATCTACAGATCAGACGAAACCAATACAAGACAGAAATGACCTGTGAGGTGGAGGGGGGGAAATCCGGTAAGTTCAGAAATCAAGGTCTTGATGAGAAAGATTGAGACTGAAAAGGGCCATTGAATTTAGCAACATGGCATTGTGGGTAATCTTGTCAAGAGCAGCTCCATTCAGTGAGAGAGAGAAAGCTTGGCTCAAGTGGGAGGAAAGGGACCAGGAAGTATAAGCTCTCTTTCAAGGAATTTTGTTGTGAAGAGGAGTAGAGAAATGAGGTGGTAGCTGGAGGGGAAGGTAGGGATGGTTAGGGTTAGGGTGTTTGGTTTTGCAAGATGAGAGAGGTACTAGCATGTTCATATCCAGTGGGGGAGTGGGCAGGGGTGGGGGTGTGAGGTGCTGGCACCAGTGCCCTTGAGTTGCGTTTGGTGGGGGCCGAGTGCACCAGTGGGTGATTTGAGTCAGTGTGTGGGTGCAGATGCTGGTAGGTGGGCAGATGTGACCAGGGGATTTTGAAGTTCTCATGATTCCTTCAGTTTTCCCATTAACATGAAGGGTAAAACTGATGGTACCTATCACGCTGGGTTCTGAAAATTAAATGTCTTTTCCTCCTTTTTTTTTCAGCACTTAGAATAGTTGCTGGCACAGAAAATTCACTTGCTGTGTTAGAGTCTGAGCCTAAGCCCTTACTCTTTAAAATGGGTTTTCTTCTGTGAAAAGTGGTAGTCAGTCTTTTTTCCTTTTGAATTTATCTTTTATTGAAGAATAGCTTATAAACACAGGTTTGCAAGTAAGCGGACAGCTCAGTGAGTGGTCACAAAGAGTGCACCTACTACCCCACCCGGATCAAGAAATGGAGCCGCCTTTGTGGCATCTCATTGGTTTGGAGGTTGGTTTGGTTTGGTTTGGTTTGTTTTCTCTTAGATATCTTGAGTTCAAAAAACAGAAGGCTAGTCATTCCTGTGTTGGGACCCAGGATATTTTTGAAATATTTCCTTGCTTTTGGAACCCAAAAGTCTGGTAACATGTTTAACACTGAAGGGTTCAATAAACCTTACTGGGCCATCTTTCTGCTGGAGGAAAGAAAAAAACTATTCCCAAATGTACTGTAAATTTCTAAAGTCATGAGAAAACTTCTAAACTATGACATAACACCAATTCCTTGAGCATTCTTCAAATCTTTTGCCTAAATGAGTGACTTCTGTGTCAAGAAAACCAGTAATATTTTAAAAGGATTTCAGATTCTCAAAATGCTTCTTGCCCTCTTCAACTAATTGAGATTAGTCATTTTTCTTGCTTTTATCCCGAAGAAAGTAGGCTTGTTTTCTCGGAAAATGTTTCTCCAATCTGGTTTGCTCATGGTGTTATTAGGAAGGTGATGGTGTAAGCTCTTTCTAAGACAATGTGGTGGTTGCTTATTCTATGTCTATTAGTGATTCTCTAATTTTTTTCTCTTTCTAGGATGTAACCCACAAAACAAAGTTGAGTACTTAGCTAGTGTCCTTTTCTTACGGAAATTCTTGTGTCTCTGGTTTTTGCCTAATTATTTTGTATGCTTTCCTGCACACAACCTCTAATACACACACACAGTTCAATTCAGTTCAGTTGCTCACTCATGTCCGACTCTTTGGGACCCCATGGACTGCAGCACACCAGGCCTTCCTGACCATCACCAACTCCTGGAGTTTACTCAAACTCATGTCCATTGAGTCAGTGATGCCATCCAACCATCTCATCCTCTGTTGTCCCCTTCTCCCGCCTTCAGTCTTTCCCAGATCAGGGTCTTTTCAAATGAGTCAGTTCTTTGCATCAGGTGCCAAAGTATTGAAGTTTCAGCTTCAGCATCAGTCCTTCCAATGAATATTCAGGACTGATTTCCTGTAGGATGGACTGGTTGGATCTCCTTGCAGTCCAAGGGACTCTCAAGCGTCTTCTCCAACACTACCGTTCAAAAGAATCAGTTCTTTGGCACTCAGCTTTCTTTATAGTCCAACTCTCACATCCATACATGACTACTGGAAAAACCATAGCTTTGACTAGATGGACCTTTGTTAAAGCAAAGCCATGTCTCTGCTTTTTAGCATGCTGTCTAGGTTGGTCATAACTTTTCTTCCAAGGAGCAAGTGTCTTTTACAAATACATACATTCTTCATTATGGCAATATTAGTGTTTGGGAAAGCCTGCCTTATTTTTAATTGAGGGGACTTTGATCTGTAGCCAGCACTCACCCTTAGTCTGTACATTTTACTTGTGATCATGTTCACCTTAGATTTAAAAAAAAAAAAATTTTATTGGTGTACAGTTGCTTTATTGTGCCCTGTTTCTGCTGTACAACAAAGTGAATCAGCTCTACATATACATACATCTCTCTTTCCTCTGGAGAGGGCTTAGCAACCTACTCCAGTATTCTTGCCTGGAGAAGCCCATGGACAGAGGAGCCTGGTGGGATACAGTCCATGGGGTCACACAGAGTCAGACACGACTGAGCGACTCTGCACACAGCACACACGCCTCCCTTTTATGGATGTCCTTCCTGTTGAGGTCGTCACAGAGTGCTGAGCAGAGTTCCCCGTGCCCTACAGTAGGTTCTCATTAGTCCTCTTACACGTAGTATCAGTGTTGTGTATGTGTCAGTCCCAATCAGACAGTCCAACCCCACCCCTCCTTCCCCGCTTGGTGTCCATACATTTCTTCCCTATGTTTGTGTCTCTGTGTCTGTTTTGCAAACAACTTCACCTGTACCATTTTTCTAGATTTTGTGGT